GGACTCCGACTGGTACTAAGGTCTAGCCAACTGGGTAAGCATGTGAACGGAGATTAAAGGAAGAGCGAGCCTTGTATTGAGAAGATTCGAAGTGCGGAATTTATGGGAGGAAAATACGAATCGATGGTCTGTGAGNACAAAGAACGGGAGGAGATGGAGACTTGCGGATAGAAATGAATGAGGAAGAGGGGTGAAGCGAGTTCATACAGTTGTCAAATACACGCTTCTTTGTCAGCTGCAACATAGCTTGCTTCTGAGAGCACATTCATTTGCGTTCGGGGCTTCGATTGGCAATGGATTGACTTAGATTATTTAGGCGTTGGTCGCTTTGATATGGGAATGACTACACGCTAGACACCCAACCTTAAAACACCATGTAGGTAAGGCAAGGGGTGCGAACCTCAACCTGGTCCGGAATGCGGACGCATGTAGCCGAAACGGTAGAAACAGCCGTGCCCAACAACCACTGCCGGAGCCAAAGTGTCCATTGTGGGTGTGGAAACCCAAGCCTTCGGCAAGCCCAAACCAACCGAATCTGAAACAAGAAGGTGATACGCAACAGTCTGGGATGATAACCAGCTGAGAATAAGTGGGAGGAACAGAGCATGTCACGAATAATATGCACCGTGGAATAAAGCGAAAAGGTACGTGTACTGACATATGTATATGGAGATGGAGACTGATAAGGAATCGTGGGTTACGGTGGCTCGTAGGGCAAGTGTAGCCGTCACCCCCATCGTGGAGCCTCAGAGACCGAGGGCCAAGAGTGTGCTAGCTACAAAAACGAAGAGAGCTCTCGGGCGGATTGCCCAAGCACGCATTAGACTCTAGCGACACCGATGCTAGGCGGAAGCTCGGGCGAGGGGTTATCGGCATTCTACACGAAACGCCTGCAGCTTAGGCAACAAGTGGAGAGAACTAAGAGCAGAAGTCGCAGGACCAGACTGTACCGTGATTGCCGAGAAATGGCTGCACGAGGCCATCAAAACGGAGAGACTGTAACTGACCGGGTACTGCGCGGACATATCTGTCAGGGGAGACGGTAGGGGTGGATGTGGCATATTGTTCCTTGTTTCGGACACCCTGGATCAGTTTGATAATGAGCACATGTCCACACCGAATATCGAAGCGTGCTCATGCAACATACAATCCACGAACTGTAAAGTGACTGTAGCCGTTATCTACAGGACACTACTCTCAGCTGAGGAGGAGGATGGCCAACTGTGCGAATAGCAAACCAGAGTAACCAATTACGTGGAGCGGATGGTCATCATGGGAGATTTAAATTCTCCGGAGGTAGACTGGGAAACCCTGTGGGCCCCTCTCCCTGTCTTTGGTAGAAAACTAGTGGAACTGATGACATTACTTCCCCCGGTGCAGCACGTCAACCAACCCACTAGATGGCCGGAGGGGCAAAGTCCCAGTATGTTGGACTAAGTTCTGACCAAGCTGCCGCATGATGTGAAACAGCTGGGGGGTTTCTTCTCACCTAGGGCGAAGCGACCATGGAGTACTTAGGTTCCACATCAGGGACAGCCCTCTCCCGGTACTACACAGGCTCACGAGAAACTTTGGGAAGCTGGATTTGACGGCGCTAAGGCAAGCAGCAGAGGCAATCCCGTGGTCAACAGACGGCATCCTTCGTGGAGCAGGAATGACAGTCATTTAAGGACTGCATCACTTGACTCACGGACGGTTTTGCTCCCCTTAGAATGGTCAGAAGAGGGGTCCGCCGCGTTGGTGGGCAAAATGGTAGTCAGGGCAGAGGCCATAAAGAGGAAGGCATGGACCTACCTCCGGAGCATAGGTGGCCATTGACAGCACCTGCACTATCTGGCGGCGAGAGAAAGGACTCTTAGGATACATAGACAATGCCAGAGGGAGTATGAAAGTAGGATTGCTCGCAATGCTAAGCAACACCCAAAAGCCTACTACAATCATGTGCAACCAAAGGCCCACTCTCGGGTAGCGGTAGCAAATGTAGTAAATACAGAAGGCGTTAATGTGGTCATCAGCAAGGAGAAGTCTGAAGTTCTAAGGAGCTTTTTTGAGAGAGTTCGTTGCCCGACCTACTGGTAAGGCTCCCTGAACAGCACACAGCACCAATTGTCTTAGAGGTAGAGGTAGAAGCAGCACTGAGACATCTGAACAGGAACAAGGTCGGGGGCCCGGATGGGCTGTATCCAGTAATCCTACGTCCCATTGCTGACATCATTGCAGGTGCTCTTGCTCAGCTTTCCAACCGATCCCTTGCCTAAAGAACGTTGCCGTCCGACTGGAGCACGGCAGAAGTGGTGCCAATCCACAAACGTGGGTCAAGGGCAGCTGATTCGAACTATTGACCAGTAAGCCTGCTTGTATATCACGTTGATTTTTTGAAAATCCTTCCTAACCCACAATGATTACATCTGAGGTGACTCTGTTTATGCGTTGCTTGATTATTGACGTATTGTCACTCACAAACACCCACACAACTGTTTATCTGCTGACTCGATACCCGCCACATTTCAATTTGGCGTGGATAGAGAACGTGATCAACCTGTTGGCTCTTGTTGGACATCCTATTTGGTTCTCGTTTGCTTCAGTGGTTTTGGCCGTATATTTGAGGTTTGCCTTGTTGTACATTTTGTAATGACTTCTCTGGTTCAGTACCGTAGCAAGTTACGGATCAATCGTATTTTATTTCGGAATTCGTATCGGTTTCGGCAACGCGTCACTCAAGTACGAATTGGTTGACGTACAGTACTCAAATTGGAATCAAACGAGAAAACTATTTCGAAGATGCCCATACGAGGAACCAAGGAAACTGGAACCCAACAGGAATTAACCCAGTAAGTCACTGGGGAGGCTGTGGGTCATTTTGATTCTTTAGAAAATATTAGATCTGTTAGTCCTGTCAGTGCTGTTTCATGTATAGATTCAGATATTGAGGATATTGATGTATTTAGGTTGCGGGTTTCTGAGTTAGAGCATGAGTTGAGATTAGCTAAACAGCAGATTGAACGGGCCAAAAGTGAACAGACCGACTTCAACGAGACCACAACACCTCGAGCTGAGACTGCAAATGGTTGCTTTTCTCGGAATTGAGAAACCGTCCTGAAGCAAAAAATGTACACCCATGTGAACTGTGATTTACCCAAAAGTCGAACTGGCACCATTCGGCGCAATCCCGAACAATACTGCCATTTTATTCT